CCTATTGGCCACTCCATGCTTCACAGCCAACATAAATAAATCATAAACCTAATACCGAACCTCTCTAGATACCTTTACCACAGACAAAACACGCTCCACTCTTAGCTGGCTCTCACCTGCTCAAGATACCTTACTGTCTGTGAATCCTTCAGTTTGCAGCCTTTTCTCAGGAAGCTTGTCTTTTTTCCAAAATGTTCCCCTCAGACCAGGAGCCAGGCTTATATAGTTCTAAGCCAGGAGCGGGCAAAATGGCTGATCCAGCTAGCAGCTGGATGCCATTTAACAGCAGCCCCTGCCCGGATGGCTGGGGCCGGTCTCCGTGGAGACCTCAGCCACAGCTGAACTGTGAAAGCGCAAGGCTGGGGTTGCCATGGAGACCGCCCCAGCCACACTGGCAGGGCACATGGCAGAGCAGGGCAGGGAGCTGCTCTGGAGCTGCTGGGGTCTTGCGATGGGGGCAGCTTGGTCTGGAGCCAGGGCAGAGCCACAATCTGTAGCCTGCACACTCTGAGCAAGGGCGCGCAGGCAGGGGATGGCAGCTCTGCACCTGCTCCAGACTAGGTTGTTACCACTGCAAGGAGCAGGAGCAGAGTCACAGTCCCCTGCCTGCGGACCCCTGCCCAGAATATGAAAGCTACAGATTGCGGCTCAAGGCCCTGGCTCTGCTGTGTGCCCTGCCAGCATGCCTGGGGCTGGTCTCCCTGGCAGCCTCAGCCTTGAGCTTTCACAGTGCAGCTGCAGCTGGGGTCTCCATGGAGACCAGCCCCAGTCATGTGCAGGGGTGGCTGGGAAATGGAGTTCACTGCTGACCAGATCTGGCCTGTAGGCCAGACTTTGCTCATCCCTATATTAGGCTCTGCCCTCTTCCATTCATGTGATCTCTCAATCTGTTAACTGGATGCGGAGGTTACATATTACTGTCATCAGCAGCCTGCTCAGCTGTGCTACAACCATCACCTAACTAGGTTGTCTGAAGCTCTACCCTGTAGCACAGGCATAGGCAACCCTAGCACATGTGCCAGAGCATGGCACGCAAAGGCATTTTACTTGGCATGCATGCCTTGGGGCGGATGGTGGAGAAGGGACCTGGGCTGTGCTGCCACAACAAAGATGGGGCCCCTTGTCACTCCCCCACCTTCGACCCCTGGCATGCTAACATCTTACAAGTTGAGGTTGGGGTATTTTTGACACTGCCCAAAAATGTTGCCAACCCCTGCTGTAGCATATTTCTTTTGCAGCTTGCTCCAGGTCAGTTGCTTGCAGCTTTTGCAACTTGGGGCTCTACCTCCCTTTAACTCTATTGCGTGGACTCTCACTCAATAATAGGGGTTGAGCCTCCTGTTACACAGGCGTTCAGATATTTGAAGACTGCTATATCATGTCCCCTCTTAAGTGTCTGTTCTGCAAGCTGAACATGCCTGTTTCCTTCCATCTCTCTTTGTATGCCTGGCTTTCCAAGCCTTTTATCATTTTTGTTGCCCACCTCTGGCCACTTTCTAGCTTCCTCAGATCCTTTTTAAAATGTGGACTCCCAAACTGTACACAATACTCCAACTGAGGACTAGCGAATGTTGAGCAAAGGAGCACTACCACCCGCTGTATCTTGCACCTAATGCTCCTATTGATGCAAGTCAAAATCCCATTTACCTTTTGTGTAGCTGCTTCACATTGCAAACTCATGTTGAGTCTGTGATCTATGAAGACTCCTAGGTCCTCTTCTAGTGCTGCCATGCAGCCAGATGTCATCTATTTTGTATTTGTGTTTTTGATCATTCTTCTCAAGGTGCAGCACCTTGCATTTGTCAGCACTGAACTTTATCCTGTTAGCTCCAGGCTGGCTTTCCAATCTGTCAAGATCCTTCTGAATTGCACACCAGTCCTTTACTATATTTAAAATCTTTCCTAGTTTTATGTCTACAGATTTGCTCAAGAAGCTCTCTGTTCTAGTATCGAGGTCATTAATAAACCCACTGAATAGCACCAGGACAAACCCCTGTGGGACTCCACACAAAACCTCCTGCCATTCTGACATGGATTCATTTATGATTATCTTTTGCTTGTGGCTATTGAGCCAGCTGTCGATCCACCTTGTGCAAGTTTTTGTCTGGCCCACATTTCTCCAATTTGTTTATGAGAAGAACATGTGGCACTTTGTCAAAAGCTTTGCTAAAGTCTGCTGCATTCCCTTCATTCACCCACCTAGTTATCGTGTCAAAGAAGGAAATCAAGTTTGTTTCTTACAGTTTGTTCATAGTACATCCATACTGGTTGCTCATTATGAGTCTTTCCTTTTCCAGATGCTTGCCAATGACTCCCTCATGATATGCTCCCAGTAACTTCCCAGGTATGAAGGTGAAGCTACCCATTCTATAATTCCCTGGGCTCCACTTTTTGCCTTTTTAGAGTGGCACTATGTTGGCCCTTTTCCATTCCTCTGGTTCCTTGCCTGTCTCCCACAATTTCATGAAATATTATTGCCAAGGGCTCTGAAATCCAGATCTTTTGCCAGTTCCTTTAGTACCCTGGGCTGAAGTTCATCAGACCTTGCTGACTTGAATTTATTCAGACGCATCAAAAGCTCTCTGCCTATTTTTTTTTAATCTCATCCCTCAACTTGTCCCCTTCCTTATCCAAATAAGTCTTATTAGCTCTCTGAGTACAACTTTTTTGTGGAGACTGAGGGAAAGAAGCTGTTTAATAGCTCCACCTTCTTTGCATCTTCTGATTTGAGTTCACCTTGGCTATTAAACAGTGGACTTGTATCTTCTGTGGTCTTCCTTTTCTGGCCAAGATATTTATAGAACCTCTTGTTGTCTTTAACTTCTCTTGCCTGGGGCAGCTCATTTTTTTACCTTTGCCTTCTAGATTTTATCCCTACAAGTTCTTGGTATACTTATTTGGTGACCTGCCCATCTTTCTATTGCCTGTATGATTTCCTTTTGCACTAGAGCAGGGGCAGGAAATTATTTCAGGCAGAGGGCCACTTATTGAGGTTTGGCAAGCCATCAAGGGCCGTATTACAGGCAGTCCAGCGCAGATAAATATTAATTTTCTAAATATTTTAAGGACCCCACGGGCCGGATAGAATGGCCTGGTGGGCCGCATCCAGCCTGCGGGCCACATTTTGCCCACCCCTGTACTAGAGGCATCCTAGAATCTCCTTGTGCAGCCACACTGACCTCTTACCATTCTTCTTGTGCTTCCATCATGTCAGAATAGCCTCTTGTTGGGCTTCCAATATTGTGCCCTTTAGAAGTTTCCAGCCATCCTGGGTACCTGCATCCTTCAGTTGGCCCAGGCCTGTTAGCTCCTTGAGTCAGTTGAAATCCGCCCTTTTGAAATCCAGTGTCTTAGAAAAAGCATGAAGTCAGCAGAACTATCTGAGGATCATGAATTCTGTCATATTGTGATTGCTTCCTCCCAAGTTCCCCATCGCTTTCACATCCTCCACCAATTCTTCCCTACTGGTCAGGACAAGATCCAAGACAGATGATCTCCTTTTTGTATCCTCATCCTTCTGGAGCAGAAAGTTGTATTCCACATAAGTTAGGAACTTGCTTGACATTTTATGTTTGGCTGTATTATTCTTCTATAAAATTGAAGCCTTCTCAGCTGTACATGAATGCTCAAGCCAGCTGAGTGGAGGCATACAAATGTGTCTTGTGCTCTCCTAATCATGCAGAGGATTGGGCACCATTCCAATCCTTAGACACAGATTTAAATAGTCTGCAGGATGTTTTCATGTGCATCAGTTGAGAATGCCTCCAGGAGGCTGTTAGGTTGTATGTGGAGATCTGACTTACCCTTACACTGGCAGCCATAGGTGTGAGTGGCATGGGTTCATTACAGAGTCTCTGAGACCTAAGGATTGTCCTGAGCAGGGAGACTTTGGGGCAACTGTGTAGATGACTCTGGATCACAGTTTCTTTTTCTAGCCCCAGAGTTTAGAACCTCCTGTACAGTGAATACAGGTTTTTGTTCAGTTTTATAATAAATGTATTTTAAAGGCATTATTTTCCATTTCACATTATGTAACATACTTTGGTTCTGTGAAATTTTACCTAAAAAGTCACAAAAAAATAAAAAGTAATTTATAATCCAGGTCAGGACACTGTTCTCTTCCCTCATCCTCAAAGATTTAATTAAAAATGTAACATGACCAAGAGACAAATGTTTATCCTACTGTAATTATAGCATCAATGCCTGCTTAGAACTGCCTGATACATTCTTTAAACTTTTCTTAAGACTGACATGCAGCATTTTAAAGGTTTGTTTTGGCTGATAAACAGCTTTTCAAACAGTCTCTGTTCTTTTGGTCTAATTACTAGCCAGCATGAAAATGCAGCTAAATGGAAGATATTCTGGTAGCAAGAGAAAGCATGGACTTACCTGACAAATAATCACCCAGTCTCTCCTTTTGCTTTTTTGAAAGAGAGAGAGAGAAAAAATATTAGTGATTGTTTGCTGTGGATTCTAATAGTATAATTATTTTTTACTTTTAGTTGAGATAATTGAATCTTAAGTTTTAAACATTATCAAGTAGCAGCCATTATCAAACTAGCATTTTTAATTTGTAATTACACAGCACTGTTTTTGTGCTTGTTTGATGCATGTGAAAGATCTGCATCTCTGAGGTTGCTAGAGGTATTCTAATTCTGTTTTATTGACATTCAGAGAAATATAATAACAAATTTTGCCAGGAAAAAGGCAGCTACAATGAAATGACTGATTGTTTCCCACTAGTCTTAAAGTAGTAACAAAAATTTAAGCTTTTGGATTCTAAGGCTGAAGGACAAAACTTGCCACGTTGCTCTTGCTAATGCAGTTGTCATCTGGTTATCGAAGCTGAGTCTGGGTTTTTTTTTTAAATGCATTTTTGATGGTTGAGTCAGAGAGAGTCAGCAAATAGATCCATGTTAACTGCAGTTTGGATTTTACATTCTGCATATTTAATTACACTGTAACTTTGCTAATACTCTTGATTTCTCTTTCTTTCACAGGATTCTGTGCAAGAGAGTGTGATTACACGAGACATTCATCGCACATTTCCAGCACATGATTATTTCAAAGATACCGAGGGAGACGGGCAGGAATCATTATACAAGATCTGTAAGGTACAGAAAAATCTCAAGCTACAAAAAAAAAGTGTTTTTGTATGTTTGAGGGGTGGGATGGGGGCGTGTGTGGGGAGGGAGACAGCAGAGGGGATTGCAGAGTTTCCTGTTATTTTGTTTCTAGTAATTTTGGCCTGATTCAGATCAACAGTCAGTAGGATCTTAAAAACTTTAGTTGAATTACACATGTAATTTTAGTGTTCTCTCAGGATAAGGCCTACTAAAGTAGACATTGTAATGGGATATTCTGTATCTTCCAACGTGTGACTGGAAATTGAATGACCTCAAGTCAGTTTTGTTGATGGGCCATAAGGTTTCACAAGTCTGTTGCAGTAGTGGCCCAGGACTGCTGCTAGCTCTCTTGTGGAAAGTTTCCAGGGCAACAGAACTCCAGAGCTAGTTCTGCAGTGACCGTATAGTAAAGAGCCTCCCTGTAGCAGTGGCACTAAGGTGTAGGATATCTGACTTCCACAGATACTGTTATTTAGTGCTTTTCACTTACAGCTTTCAAAGCACCCAGTGAAGGAGGGCAAATATCATTACCTCCATTTTACAGACGGGGAGACTATTGCACTATGTGAGGGGACTTGATTTGGGGTATACAGTAGGCCTGTGTGAAGCGACTAGTATTCTATTTGGATTCAGATTCGGCCGATTTGGGGGACAGTGATTCAATTCAGTGATTTGAATCACTGTCCCGGATCAATTCGGCCGAATCTGATTCAGAGATTCAGCCACCGTCGAATCGGCCGTATCTCCGAATCGGCCCCATGCCCCACCCGCTCTCCTGCTCTCCCGCCTGCTCTACTAGCTCCCAGCTCTTTTAAAAAACAACAAAAACAAAAAACCCACTCACTGGCTGCTGCCAGGCAGGGGGATGATCCCCACTGGCCCCCCACTGCCCCATGCTGCATTGGGGTCTCTGCTATGAGGCCTCAGAAGCCCCAAGGCTGCTGCAGCAGCTGATGCATCAGGCTTTTTTTTTTTTAAAGGGCTGGCAGCTGGGGGGGTGGGGCAGCTATGGGGGGGCTGGGAGAGCAGGTGGGGTCAGAGGGTGCTCAGGGGGGCTGGGGGAGCAGGCAGGGGATGCGGCCTGACAGGGGTCCCCCCATGATCCTCTCCCGCCTCCTCCAGCTCCCCCACCTCCTACTTACCAGCATGGAGTCTGAGTCCAGCTCCATGTTGCAGTGAGCAGGGACTGCCCAAATTGCCCAAGCTCTCTGAATCTTTTCCGAATTGATTCGGAGAGCTTCAAATCAATTTGACCTTTTAATTCATCCCCTGATTTGATTCAGATTCGGAGATTCGGCCACCGAATTGAGCTGAATCTTCTCTGAATCAAATCAGCACGTGAAGCTTCGCACAGCCCTAGTATACAAGTAGCTCTGCCATATGGAGAGATGCAGGAAGTATGACACCACAGCTAGGTGTGTTGTTATATTGCCATAATTTTCTGTAATTACTTTTTGGCAGCATGGGTTATTTTAACAAGGCTGTTGAATTATTAGTTACACTGAGTTATATCACATTAAATGTACACATCCTATTGTGAAATGAAATACTTCCCCTCAGGTAGAATTGGTTACTAGCTATTCTGTGACTTTCAACATGTAATTTGAGCTGATATGCAATTAAAAACTTTCTGTAATCCAAAATATCTTATAAAAAGGTTTTTACTTTTCTTCCCTCTGTGCTTGATTTTCTTGCATTCCCTAAACAGGGTTACCTCCCTGCCCCACTTCCAGGTTTTCAAGTGCTTCTCTCTTACTGGTGCTCTGTCTTCTCTTTCATTCCATTACTAGGTGAAAGTGGTAGAATTGTCAGTAATATCACAGAAAAGACAGAAGTGTGTGTAAATATTGCTCTGTATTGGAGAAAAGTGTAGGGATATTATTCATATAATTAATGATGGCAAAATACCCTCCATTCCAACAGCTACTTACATGGTTGTTAAACAGTAGCTAGTAACGTTGCGCCAAGATTCAAAAGCTGTCTAGACTCTGTTCAGATTCCACAGGCCTAAAACACCTGGGGATTCGGTGGCTGGGTTCCTGATAGTTAGTTGGTGAGTGAACAGCAGGGGGTTCTCAGCCAGATGCTGTCTTGCTCCTGAGTTATTTTTTCTTCTGGTAAGAATTTTTGGAGAAATTCTTGCTAGTAGAAATGAATGTCTGTATGTATCCAGTGGCAATGACCTTTTTCCCACTTTTGAAGAATGCCAGAGACATTTAGAACTTTGCCCTTTCTTCCATTAAATGGGCCATTGCTCATAGGGATCCTTTCTCTATTGGTCTAGAGGAAGGTTCTGGACCTGCTAGAAGGAATCTGATTTTGGATCCTTTGCCCTGTCTTTCTGTCAGGAACAAGAGTGTTGGTGAGGCCCTGTGAGTAGTGGACAGATGCTTTCCAAGTCTTGGCCATCCTAGAGAAGGTTTGTCTGTTCTGGTAGTGAGTTTCAACCATGCCCTACTAACTTTTTGCTTCTTGTGCTGGAGGTGGTGTGCAAAATTATGTGGACATCAGGGCTAGGGATGGACATTCAAAAGCCTGAACCTGAATTGATTCAATTTTTGCAGGTTAGTCTAACCTGCCTAGGTTGAACCAGTTTGCAATGTTCCCTCTGTACTGAAGAAATGCAGGCACATGCCTGCAGTGACTCAGGCTAGAAGCCAGGGGGGCGCTAGAGCAGCCCTCCCTTTACTTCCACATTGCTGAGCTGTGGGGGGGCATGGCCAGGCCCCGGTAGGACACTCTGGTTAGGGAGGGGGTATAAACCCCAACCCTACCTGCACTATCCCAGGCTTTTCCCCACTTGCTGCTCAAGGGGCAAGAGTGTTGCCAGACCCTAACCCCCAGCTAGCTCTCCAAGGCGAAGAGGCTGTATGCAGTGCATGCATCTGTTGATGATGCTGAGCTTTTCAATCTCCCTCTCCCTGTTTCTTCATACTGTCTGCAAACGTGAGGTGAGGGAGCTGATAGCACTGTATTTATCAGCCCATCAACAAAACAAAGCCTCCCTCATTAGTTCAAGCTCTTCTTAAACAGCTTTTTCCAAGGAAGGAACAGAGAGATAGTACCAGGTGACCTGTTGATTAGCTCCAAAAAGCGCTAAGCTGACACTGTTCTGTCTGCCTGTCCCAGTGCAGTTGGAGACACACAGGCACCTAGCAGCATTAGCTAGCATACCACATGCCTAGGGTCTGTGGGGCTGGGGTCCATGCTGTGGGAGATGCGGGGAGGGAAGGAGGAATCCCTGCTTGAGCAACAAGGGGGGGATGCCTGCAGTCCCCACTGAAACTCTGGCTAGGAAGCAGAGGGGTGAGGCCATCCCTGCTCTCTAGAGCCAGACAGCCCAGCTGAGGGCTGCAAAGCATTTGGGATGTTGGGGAACTCTGGTTTAACTTATGGATGAGTCTTCTGAGCCTGTGTCTAACCTGACCTCAAGTTTTGTCAAATGGTACAAGAAACTATATGTTAGAAAAAAAGGCTTATACATTAGAAAAAAGATTTGTATAGGCTAACAAACTTGCTTATGATAGATGTGATTTCATTAAAAGAAATAGTACTGAAAGCAGTGGTATGGCAGTCTTATATTCTAATCTTTTAACAGAGATACTGTGTACTCCTGCTGCTCTCCTAACGTGGATACATGAGACATTTGAAGAATGCTGCTATTTAATAGGGCCAGGAAAGGTCTGTTTTCTGCAGTGGGAGGATAAAAAGCTGGAGGAGAGAGAGTTTCTCTATGACCCAGTGAAATGAGAAATGATCAGAGCTGTCAGATAAGAAAGAAGACTGTTAAAAGCTCACTGCCATGTTTTAATGGGTCTGTCAGTTTTAGTTTCTTCTCTTCATCTTTTCTTTAGAACAGGAGAAAATCAAGAATGCTCAAAGCTTTTTCTGTTGTAGAACATTTTTGTGATGAAGTTGAGTATCTAAAAATGAACTTGTGAGGCTGACTGGTGATGAGTGAAAAGAAAAGAACTAGCAGGTACAAACTCTGAATTTGAGACTGTTGGGTGCTTCAGATTGTTTGATCTTACACAGATCAAATGGATTCTGACAAGATTTTTTTCTTGTATTCTGTCTTTTGTAAATAATATGAAAATTCAAGCTGTTTTTGAAGAGTTCATTCTCTGTGCCACAATGCATAATGGAATAGTACTGGTGACCTACTTCCATGCTTACATGTGTAGTTAACGGCACCATGCTACAGGGAATCGAAGCACTTGGCAGAAATAGACCTCTCTAGTGTTTGGATTGGAGTGCCTACAGTACACAGTTTAATTTGAGACGCGTTGTTTTTTCTCATTTTCTTGTTACAGTAGCTCCTATTTGATGGAGAAACAACTGCTGTGACTTTAATAGGAGTAACTGAGTAAGTTGCAGGGAAATCAATATCCCATTTTATCTAGGTTAATAATCTTATTGCACAACGAACACAAGTAAATGCAGTACTTGTCTATTTTTGCAAATAGGATTTTGTTGTATTTCAAAAACTTGTGTCAGTGTTTCCTTTAATAAGAGACGCTGTAGGAGGGTCGCCAGAACTTGTATCATGGGATAGTTCAGTACTCTATTCCTTTTTGCTGATTTAGTTGGTAGCTTTTGTCTGATCCTATTGCACTTTTCAAAATGGGGATAAAATATTCATGAGAAAAGTCAGTGTGACAAGTTGTTTACTGTGACAGAGCCTTCCACTGCAGCAGTTGTTCATGTGTCTGTCTGTCTGGTTGTGCCCAGCATGGGAGAAGAAGTACAAACTATTTTTCTAGAAGAAACTAATACCAGTGGTGCCCACTATGCATTCTTCTGGACTTCCTTACTTTAGGAGATAGCAGAGTTGAAATGCTGAATAATGTCTTTGTTGCTTTTTTGCTGTCATGGTTTATAACTTTTGTATGCCAAGCTTGATTGATTGCTCTTGGCTCACCCTTCACTGTGGCAAAGCTACTCCTTTATTCTGTCCAGTTACTTCTTTGTCCTTCAGTTTCTTCCCT